TGCACGCTCCCTGAATGCTCTTTCTATATTTTATCAAAAGCGAAAACCTTGGCTCTCAACCTTGGATCTAATTATACTGCGTACACACGGAAGCTTCCTTTTGATAATTGTATCAAAGAAGAATACAAAGGTGTCCTGAAAAAAAAAATTATCACCTGCTGCAATTCTATAAGACAGCTTATCTACAGAGCGAAGTTGTTTGTAAATTACTATATTTTACAAAATCCCAATGAGCCTGCCCCAGGATTCATCTTTAAACACAACTTCTGTATACTATATGCCAATTGGTCCTAATAGAAGGCCTACCAATAAGACTGTAAGTCGTCCAAATCTTTTCAGCAATGGATACTTCAAAAAGAAAACCCTAAGGCATGCTATGCCGTAACTTTAAAAGTCGTGCATCAATGTCTGGCTGAGGCGGTGCACAAGAGGTACTACCTCATATCAGAATGCAATCGTCGAGACCTTTTGAAAATAGATTGATTATTATCTTCGTACAAATTCAAATCATGTTTGTGGTAAAAAAAAAAAAAAAAAAAAAAAAAAGTGTATGTATATAAATAGTAATAAAAGACTAAACAAATTTTATAAAAATAATATAGATATGGATCGAAAGACGTTCATAATATTGCTGTAAAATATTGTTATCAATATATCTGTCAAGGGGATCCAGTGTGGCCAACAAGTGAAATTGTAAATGATGATACAATAAGACAAAAAGTTGTTCAATTTTGCCAGCCTCTAAGGACATTCTAAATACCAAGTAACAGTGAAAACCTATCGGAATCCCTGGTAGATTTTACTCCTTTGTTGATACACTTGCTCTCTATCATTAAATCTGAAACGACAACCATTGTGAATACGATGTAAGAAGACTGTCTCTTCCGCGGCGATTAGTCTGTTCCCAACACCTTCCTTGCACTGGCGTTCTATAACTTTGTCAGTAAACGCATTATCTGCGTTTCTTCCTCGTGAAAAGTTGCCAAGAGGTTATAATGACCAACTTCGGCTCTTTTTTAAAGTATTAAAGTTCCAGTCATTGAGAATTAAAACGTAAGTTAAAAAAAAAGGGTGATATCATAATAATTAAAGCAAACATACTTCCAGAATTGAAAGTATAATGCCAAATGGCAGAAATAGACAGTTGTTTGGAAACTTGATCAGATCAGACGGTTTCAGTGTTGATTTTTTGTTCTACAAAAGACGAAATGATCAAAATGATATGGCTGTCAAAGTTAACCAAATACACCTCAAAGTCGATGACTTTAAGAGTCAAGAAATAGAACAGTCATATCTTCCAATAGCAATTGACCCTGGAAGAAAAACCGTTTTTACTGCAGTTACCGATTTAGATCGCGATGTTCGACGATGCACAACCAAGGAATACTATCATTTGACAGGTTCAGCAAGATTCAGTTCTGAATTGAACAGAACTAAAAATGAGCGTGGCATTAACATCATAGAAAGCTCTATACCAACCAACAAGACTTCTGACTCAGAAAAGTACTTGCAGCATGCCACTTATATTTTCAATAATTTAGATACTCTGTTCGAGTTTTATAACGCTGCTACGGCAAAGGACCGTTTCTTCTTGTACCAAGGAAAGCAAAGGGCGCCAGAGCTAATGGTAAATATGTTGCTAAACGGAACTAAAAAGTACAACAGAAGTTTAAGAAGCAAAAGAAGAAAGAAAAAAAAACAAAAAGAAGAAGAAGAAAAAAGGGGGTACCAAGAAGAAAAGAAAGGAAAAGAAGTTAAAAAGAAATGTATTCCAAGGTATTTGTAGTTAAAAAAAAAACCCAGTAAATTAGTATTATTATTATTTTTACTGAAAAAGTGCATGTATACAAATGTATCTGATAGAGAGACCAAGTATAAAAACTACAAATCAAAGGTACCCTTGGTCGTATTTGGGGCCGGAATGTTTGGCAAAGATTTGGTGCACTACAAGGATTGAGAAGTGGAGTCACTGAACTCTTTACAAGACTTTAAAGAGAAGAAAGTAATGGTGACTTGATAGTTGTTACCATCGATGAGTATCTTACCTCCCAAGTATGCTCTAAATGTATGACAAAAGTTTGGATGTTTTTACTGGTGTTCGTGGCTGTGGTGTTCTTGTTTGCAAAACATGTCAAACACTGTGGCAGAGGGATATTAATGCATCTTTAAACATAATGAAGATTGCTCAGTCGATTTGGAGAGATGGAGAGCGTCCTCTTCCGTTTAAAAGAGGTTAAGTCTTACATAAATCGCCGTATTAAACACGGTTCTCCGAAAGGAGTTCAGATTATTACAGTAAAGAAAAATCTGAACATTTACCATCAAAGTGTTTGAACTTATTTTTTTTTTTCGTCTAATTTCCATTTTTATTCTGTCTAAAAAAGGTAAGCAAATTGTCTAAAAATTAATTTTGATTCGTCCAGAAAAAAACTAACATCGCCTAAATTTAAAGCGTAAAAACTGTAACAAGAAGCTCCACATGCACACTCGTTTATTCTTGCCACGATCAATTGCAGATCCCCTTTCCTTTCTTTAAATCATCTCCCTCAGCATAAGCACCGAAATTCTCAGGATGTTTGCTTGGTTCTATCGCTGGCCAGTTATGTGTACCATTCTACAGGAAATAGATTATTTAATGCACGATAAACTACCCCTCCACTTCTTGATCCAGGCAGAAAATTACTCAACTGGTGTCTCTTTAAACTTGTTAGCAATATTCCCCTTTCTTTCTCACTTTCTCTTCTTCCTTTCCTTTACCTTTTTACCTCTTGTCCCATAAGAGGGTTTTTAGATACTTTTTTCACATCATTTGAACTGACCTGGGCAATCCAATATAACAAACATATTATGTGCCCATAGGTCGCTTTATAAATTTTAATTTATAAAAATAATAAAAAAATGTTTAATCGTAACAAGAAGCTCCAAGCGCAATACCTCTTTCGAACTTCCCAATTACCAGCAGATACTCTTCTTGCCCATCTTTTGCCTCATGTTCAGCTCTCAAATAGTCATTCCCACTGGTATAAATTGACTCAAACTACAATGTGGACACACCTATGCTCACCAAATATCTCAACGCTCGACCGAAAACAATTCTACACTCTTCGTGCTAAGTTTCTAGATGATCAATTTCAAAATCTTCGTCAAGATACTAATTCACTCCTATTGTCTTCCTCACGCCCCACTCTTGAATTGGATCCCATCCTTTACTTACCAATGACTACCTCAGAACGTAGCCGAGTGCTTCGTTGGCGACTTGGCTGGCTACCGGGTGGTAAACCTAAAGAATGTATCTTTCATCCGTCTCATAATTGGAGCCGGCAACATGCTATTGAGTGCTTACATGTACATCATCGTCTCTACATGCCTACTTCAGTCGAAGATCCCATCTCGTTCCTCCTCAACTTGCTTCCACTACATAAACCTCGTCGTCCTTCTGATTGTACGAGCTGATATACTTTATGGCCTATTCTTTGTACAATTCTACATGAACTTGATTACTACTTCCATGATGAATTTCCTCCTGATCCTGTCGATCCTGGTCTCAAGCTGTTGAATTGGTTATCCAAGTAATAGTGTGCGTCTTCCTGGTCACTTTGGTCTTATTTGTTTTTAAATTGTTTCTTCTCACTTTTTTCGCTTTTTCCCCTTATATTTTCTCTTAATTCCAAAATACTGCTCTTTTCTTTTTCCTTCTCGTTTTCCTTTTTCCCTTCTTGTCCTTTAGGAAGGTTTTTATTCTTATTTCCCCTCTATAACTGGCTCGGGCAATATTGCGCATTTATTTCGTCGCTACATGCTCATTGCCAAAAAATTTAAAAAAAAAAAAAATAATAATAATAATAATAATAAAACTCAGAATTTAATCGTAACAAGAAGCAAAATACACATATGCAATGCCTTTTTTTATTTAGCCGTCATCCATCTTTGTACAAGTGTCATTCTTCTCCGCCAATTGAAATCTCCTCATTAATTATGTAATTCTTTCAGGACATGCTTATCTTACTAAAAATGACTCATTAAAAAAAAAAAAAAAAAGATAACTAATACTGTGGTTTTTTATTTAATTTCCCTCTCTCTTTCATATACACTTATATAAATATATACATCTACGTTTGACTTTTAAAGAACTCCCTCCTCCTCCTCCTTTTTTTTTTCTTTTTTCTTTTTTTGATGAAGACGATTATAAAAAAACTTGTTCATGAACCAACACAATTCTCTCCAGAGGATGCAGAAAGAGCGATGCATCAGATAATGCAAGGATCGGCCACCTCAAGCCAAATCTCTGCCTTTCTCATTTCTTTAAAACTTCAAGAAAAGGACAAAGATCCACAAGTGGTGGCAGCTTGTGCGACAGCTATGCGTAGCCATGCCTGTCTTGTCCCTTACGACCACCATCCTCAGCTTGTAGGACAGGTGGTGGATATCGTTGGTACAGGTGGTGATGGCCATGATACCTACAATGTCTCCACAACGGCCTCTATTGTTGCAGCGGGGGCAGGGGCCAAGGTAGCTAAACATGGGAATCGAGCCGCCTCATCACGATCAGGATCAGCGGATCTGATGGAGGCCCATGGATGTGCTATTACACAAGTTGAGCCTTATCAAGTCGCGGATATCCTAGATCATACTCACTTTTGCTTTTTATTTTCACCTACTTTCCATCCAGCGATGAAGCATGTAGCCAAGTTGAGAAAGGAGATAGCCGTCCCCACCGTCTTTATCTCTTGGGGCCCATGTCAAATCCAGCGAAACCAAGTCGGATGGTAGTAGGGGTACACTCACCTGAGATAGGAGCGTTGATGGCGAATGCACTTCGATTAACAGGTGTGCAAGAGGGCTTAGTCGTCTGTGGTGCAGAGGGATTAGATGAGATTAGTCCTGCAGGTGAAACGCATTATTGGAGAATTGATGGCAACGATATAAAGACAGGCGTATTACATCCAACTGTCGATTTTGGATTAAAGAGAACCTATCCTTTATCTCAAGTCAAAGGGGGTGATTGTCATGAAAACGCTCACATCTTGAATCAATTATTAAATAATCAATTATCCGATGAAGATCCCATTTTAAATTTCGTACTATTAAACACATCGGCTCTTTTAGTCATGGCTGGAATTGCCAGTGATTTTAAAGAAGGTGTGGAAAAGGCCCGTGAATCCATCAAGTCAGGCAATGCAAAGCGAGTGCTAGAATCCTTTAGAGATGAGACAAGAAAAGAAAAAAGGTGATTACATAAATAAACTAAACTAAACTAAACTAAACTCAAAGAGAGAGAGAGAGTGTGTGTGTGTGTGAGCGAGCAAGCCAGCCAGCCCCAGCTTTTTTTTATTTTATTTTATTTTAATTTTATTATTGCTTGATTTGGCTCAATTGCATAGCAACTGGTAGCACGTGCTTTAGAATTAAATGAAGTGTGACCGAGAGCGACGATTAAATTTTGAGGACTCGTTTGTTAGTGATGATATGCTTGTTCGTGATTAAAGAAGATGATAAGATATGGGACATAGAGAGACCGTAAAGATCAATCACATGAGTTTGATGATAATGAATAAGTACAGTTTGATCCAAAGTGACTGCTACTTTATCATTTAAAAATTGGATATTCTATTTTCAAATAAAAATTTATTCGTGTTGTCAATTTTTGTATATGATTATCTACCTTTGTATTCTGTAATTCATCTTTTATAATGGATATATGACAAGGGAAATAAGCTTGCAAAATAGAATGTGAGATTGATAATGACTCTATTATTATATGTATGTATTTTAGTGAATAAGCTATCATCTTCATTATCAAGACATACTAACCAGGTTAAATCATCTGGAGATTTCCATTCAATTGGATATGCTTCAGTGACATGTTTTTCATTTTCATAGTCATAAATACAATAAATTTGAAATTGATTGGGTGGTAGTGATGATAAATGATGATTATAATCGAAGGTAAGGAACAAGTTCAAATCGTGTCCTTTATTTAGACATACTGTTTCAGGTAAAAAATATTAGGTAAGCAGCTTAAATATGCCTGATCAATTCTATGGTTTGATCTTGAAAGAAAGTGTGAATTAGTTTATGCATTTAGTAATAAATCAGTGTGTTGGTTTACAATGGGAGCCCTTCAGCTTGAATCCAAATACGTTTATCACGTATCCAACCATGTACATGATTTAATTTCAAATGTTGATTATTAGATATTTTGGTATTCTTTTTTATAAAGTCTTCCTCAAGTGCATGCTGAAGATCATTTCTTAATATATTTTGAGAGTCGTTTAACAATGCTTGTTTTCTAGTCATCTATTAAAGATAACATGAAGTTTTTTTTTTTGCCTTAATAAATAATATTGAAGTTTTTTTTTTTATTTTACTTTTCTCGTTATTTCTCTTTTTTGTTCTTGGCATTGCTTTATTTTAGTTTGAATTATATTTAGAGTATTTAGTAGTTCATTTGTATTCATAATGGTCTAAAAAAAAAAAAATAGCGCTATTTTCACCACTAATTTGTTTTCCTTAAAAAAATAAATAAATAAATAAATAGATAATAACGACATTTTATTGGTTCATATTTTACTGTCGTTGTTAGTTATTTAATCTAGCAAAGAACAATAATTAAAACGATGAATATTAGTTATAAATGGATCATCCTTTTTATTTTTATTTTTTTTTTTAAAAAAAAAAAAAAATGGTGTTTCAGTTATTAAGGGGAGATGAGTGGTTTTTTTTTTTTTTTTTTTTTTTTGGAACCCCAATGTCGCGTAAATATTTAAAGTCAGATTATATACTATACTATCTTTTTTTTTATAAATCAAAAAAAAAAAAAGACAACTGATAAGCCTACTAAACTATTCATGACTTTAAACTACAAGAAGAGAAAGCATGATCAGAAAGTATTAAATGATGATAATAGATGTAAAGAAATTTATAATATAGCTGCTCTCTATGTGTGCTATTTGTAGTAGTCAAAAAGAGGAAGAAGGAAGAATATTATCAATCAGTCTCTAGACCTACCTACCCCACTCTCCCGCTCTTTTTGGTATCATTACTGCTAATAGTAATAATAATCATGTGCTTATTTAACAATAAGAAATGACAAAAACGTTGCTATCTTAATAATCCTCAAAAAAAAAAGTTTATTATAGGATAGTAACATCTTATTTTAAAAGCTGCTCGGTTTATTAGTAAAGCATGCATGTATAAAAGGGAGAATATGATATATAATACTGATTTACGTATAATAATGTTTATCATATTAAGAGTATTTTGGTTGATACACTAAACAAATTTGATACTGAAATCAAGACTAATCATAAAGAACAACAACAACGCCTATCAATACAATATATTATTACTATCATATCTAAACTATATCTTTTAAATTTTCTGGAACAAAAAAAAAAAAAAAAAAAAAAAAAAAAAAACCAGCATGACTCTCTTCTTTCAATTTTAGCATAACTAATCAAGTTATTATTAAAGTAAGTGATATATCGTCGTTCTTTACTATTCATAAAGATAAAAAAGAATATAGAATAGACCCTACTTTAAAGAAGAATAAACAAGTAGTGGAACTTTTACTTTCTATTCATTATGACGGGTTAGAGTTCTTTTAGAATAAAATATCCTTAAACCTTTTATTTCAAGTTCAATCCATTTACCGCCGTAACAACACGACAATTTTTCCTCTTTGATGTCAAATCACATTTACAATTATTATCTGAATTTCAATTTTCACTAGAGAAATCATGTTGAAAGTTATTATATCTTTTGCTGCTGTAATCGAATTATTTATTTTATCTACAATTACTTATCTTCCTCTCTTTTTCTTTTTTTTTTTTTTTTTCATTTTATTTTATTTCTTTTCTTTTCAATCCGCTTTTTTGTTCAATTCATAAATTATGAAGGCACTTATTCTTGTTGGTGGTAAATTGAAATGATTTCTTTTCATTTCTCTCTTGTTATTCTCATTGACTCTTTTATTTTATTTATTAAGGCTTTGGTACACGTCTTAGACCTCTTACTTTGACTCTTCCTAAACCTCTTGTTGAGTTTGCTAATAAGCCTATGATTCTTCATCAAATTGAAAACTTGGCCAAGGTATGGTATTATTACATATAAAAAAAATCTCCTTTTCCTTTTTTATCTAATCTTAATTAATTATTATTTAGGCTGGTGTTACGGATATCGTCTTGGCTGTAAATTATAGACCTGAAATTATGGTAGCTGCCTTGAAAGAATATGAAAAAGAATATGGAGTCACAATTACTTTTTCTGTTGAAACAGAACCTTTGGGTACAGCTGGTCCACTAGCTTTGGCTCGTGACATTCTTGCAAAGGATGATTCCCCCTTTTTCGTATTAAATAGTGATGTCATTTGTAATTATCCTTTTGAACAGATAAGAGACTTTCATAAATCACATGGTGATGAAGGCACCATTATTGTAAGTACTTTTTTTTCTTTAAATGCAAATTGTATTGTTTTATTAAATGCGTCCATCTTAATTTAGGTTACAAAAGTAGATGATCCTTCTAAATATGGTGTGGTTGTTAATCATCCAAATTCAACAAAGATAGAGCGTTTTGTTGAAAAACCTCAAACCTTTATTAGTAACAAGATTAATGCTGGTATTTATCTTTTTAATCCTTCCGTATTAAATCGTATTGAAGTAAGTGACCCATTTATATACATTAGATTACATTAAAACAAAAAAAAAAAACCCAGGTTGAAATTTAACTTTTTTTTTATTATTATTATTCGTTCTAGTTGAAACCTACTTCAATTGAAAAAGAAATCTTCCCTGGTATTGCTCGTGATGAACAATTACATACTTTTGATTTGGAAGGTTTTTGGATGGATGTAGGACAACCTAAAGATTATTTGACAGGCACTTGTCTTTATTTATCTCACCTCACAAAACACAAACCACAAGAACTTGCAAATCCTAATCACGATTATGTCTATAAGGGTAATGTGATGGTTCATCCAACCGCTAAAATTGGAAAAGATTGTCGTATAGGCCCTAACGTTGTGATTGGTCCAAATGTCGTAATTGGTGATGGTGTTCGTTTACAACGTTGTGTTATTCTAGAAGGTGCAAAAGTCAAAGATTATGCGTGGGTTCAATCTAGCATTGTAGGCTGGCATTCCTCTGTCGGACGATGGTCACGATTAGAAGGTTGTTCTGTACTTGGTGACGATGTTTCTATTGGTGATGAGATCTATGTTAATGGTGGATCTATTTTACCTCACAAGTCTATTTCTTCAAATATTACTGAACCACAAATTATCATGTAAATAGGTTATGAAATAATCTCTCTCCTTTTTTCTGATTTGTTTCCCTTTCCCTCTCCCCACCCCTTTTTTTTTTTTTAATTACCTTATACAATTATAAAGCACGCCTCTTTTCTAATAAATATGTAATAAATTAAATAATATCTGAGATTCTAATACACTCTTTCTTAAATCACATGGCACGCTTTTTCTTTTTTATAGCACAATTTTATTTTCCATAATTAGATTTAGCAAACAATATTAATTAAAAGCTTTCCTAGCACATTTTTTTTTTCACGTTTATGAGAAAAGGGTTAACTGTAGGAAAAGGTTACTAAAATTAGCAAATATCCTTCCCCATGCAAGACAGCGTATACAATTGGCTCCAGAAAGGATCAGCTTGAGAATACAAAAGTCTCTTGAGGATAAGGAGAAAGAGAGGAATGATGATGAATAAAAGCAGGAAGACAGAAATGGTTGAATAATAATAAAAAAAAATCACAAGGAGTAACTTGTGCAGACATTTGATCACAATCCCTCCACAACAGTAGATCAAGCATTTTGATGGCTTGATGGTCTGAAAGTTTTTTTTTTTTCGGGCAACTGTTCATAAGTTTATGACAGAAGATTGCATTCTATCACTGAAAAAAAAGCATACTTTTTTATTCTACAGAAAAGAAACTCCTCTCCCCCCCCACTTGAAAAGATCCAGAAGAAGACACGAATGGGTAGTTAAATGGTCAGAGACTGATCCAGATTTTGAGAGCAACTGCTTCTTCATCGATGAAGCGGCATTCCACATCACACATGAAAAGGACAGCATCTTGGTCACAAAAAAAAAATATGCATTAACTAACTGACTATATTGATAATATCGCCTTTGTTTACAACTGGAATAAAAGTAATCGTAAATTCTTTTATTTTTTATAGTTTAAAATTACCTCGAATATTAAAAATTGGAAGATAACGTTGTTTAGGTTAACTATATATTCTCCTGTTAAGTCTTATTTAATTGGGAGCAATTTTCATCTTGAAGAGAAATATTCAGGGCAGAAATTTCTAGTCACTGCCCATAAATTATTTGTTATTTTAAGATGTTCTTCATCTATT